TAGGGTTGCCAGGTGTCAGGTACTGACCCAGGCAGTCTGGTATTTTTGCCTCCTGTCCGGTAGAAAAGTTAAGAAAATACCAGATACTTGAAATGTCAGGCATTTTCTGTTTTTTTTTTCCCTGCCAGGAGGCGAAAATACCGGACACCTGGCAACCCTAAGACAGCTTGGTAACTGGGCCCAGCCTGCGGCTCCCCCCACAGGCTGCTCTGCTTACCTGCGGAGGAAGGGGGGGGCTTGCTCAAGAAAACAAGATGGCTACCGGCAAAAAGACCTGTAGCAAGGGGAAGCAATGCCTTCCCTGGGTCTTAGTGCTCAACTGCTCCCCTCTTGCATTTACAGGAGGCCATGCTGTTTTATTGTATTTATTTATTTATTGCTTAATAACTTTTGGGGTCCTTTTTTTCTCAACAATGTTGGTCTTCCCTTTTTTTTCTCCCTGGTGGGTTTTTTTGGGGGGAAGAGGTGTTTTTGGTTAAACCATTTGGCAACCCTACACATGGATACAGCATGAGAAACAAGCAGATCATGTCCTCACCATGGTAAAAGTGCTATTTAGGGAAGGCTTAGAGAATAACACCTGGCTGCCACTCAACCACTTCATCTACGCTGAACAACCAACCCAGTAGTTACCTCCTATGTGATTCCTCTTCAAAGATTTCTCCTGCCCTTACTTCAGCCCTGCAAGGCATATATGCTACCAGATTGTCACTGATCCCAAAAGCAAAAATAAACTATGGTGCTCCCCTGCGTGCACAACTGACAAAACAGCAGAAATGAGCTCTTTCATTGCAGCGTGTGGCAATCTGCTGCAAGTAAACTCTGCTCCAATTAAGACAACTGTTCCTAAGACAGTGAAGGGCGGTTGGAGAGAGCATGTGGTTGAGGTGAATCTTAACTTTCTAAGCTCATCTGAAGAAGAAGAGTTTTCCCACAAAAGGTCATGACATTAATTAATTAATTAATTTATTTATTAATTAGGGTTGTTTTTGAAGTTACAGACTAACACCTCATGACAGTAATTAATTAATTAATTAATTAATTATTTAGGGTTGTTTTTGAAGTTACAGACTAACACAGCTACTCCTCTGAGACTTTTTAATTCCTAGTTTTCTGAGACTATAAGAACAACTATACTGTCAGAACAAAGGCCAGTACACTGTCTTCAGACACTTGGCAATGCCAGGTGCTCAAAGGAAATGAACAGAAAAGGTAATTTATACTGAGTCAGAACAAAGGCCAGTACACTATCTTCAGGCACTTGGCAATGCCAGGTGCTCAAAGGAAATGAACAGAAAAGGTAATCATCAAGTGATCCACTGTCTGTCGCCCATTCCCAGCCCTGACAAATAGAGACTAAGGACAAAATGTTTGCCCATCCTGGCTTGATCATTGTCTTCAGTCCACCCTCTCTGGGGCACCTGGTGCTGGCCATTGTCGGCAGACAGGATACTGGGCTAGAAGGACCTTTGGTCTGACCCAATACGGACGTTCTTATGTTCTTATGTAACCCTGTTAAAGTCCTGGCCTTCACAATATCCTCTGGCAGGGAGTTCCATGGGCTGACTGAGTGTTGTGTAAAGAAAGACTTCCTTTTGTTTATTTTAAATCTGCTGCCTAGTAATGACATTTGATGACTCCTACTTCTTGTGTTATGGGATGGAGTACATTAACTTTGCCTTCTTTACTTTCTCCACACCAGTCATGATTTTATAGACTTGTAGGATATTCCCTCTCCTTAGTCATCTCTTTTCCAAGTTGAAAAGTCCCAATCTTACTAATGGCTCTTCATATGGAAGCCATTCGATACTCCTAATAATTTCTGTTGCCCTTTTCTGAACCTTTTACAATTCCAGTTTATCTTTTTTGGAGATGAGGTGCCCAAATCTGCACACAGAACTCAAGATGTGGGTATACCATGGATTTATATAGAGTCAATATGATAGTCTTATTAGCTATCCCTTTCTTAATGATTCCCAACATTGTTTGCTTTTTTAACTTATGCTGCTCTTTAAATGGATGTTTTCAGAGAACTAGCCACAATGACTGCAAGATTTCTCTTTTGAGTGGTAACAGCCAGGGCCATCCCGAGCCAT